TCTTTCTTTCGGAAGGCCATGTGTTCTGGTCGAACGCGCCTAATGCAAGAAACTGAATTCAGCGGGTGAAACTCACAGAAAAAGCACCGCGCCCCTGAGCCACGTCCTGGCAGGTATCGAACCAGTCCCCGAGCAAAGCGAGAGAACTCCTCGAAAAGCCAAAGGAGAGGTGACAGCGCCGGCCACCGGCAGCCAGCGAGAGCACGGTAGCAATCCAGCCCAAGCAGGTCTCAAGCCAGCGCAGGTGGCGGCGAGCGGTACGCAAGGGACAGGAAGGAAGCGCCCAAAAGGGGAGGCTCTGAGTAGGCGGAGGTGGGAGGAAGACATAAGCCCCTGCGAAATCCAACCCGGGGGGAGGAAGAAGCCAAAAGGGGTAAGTACGCCAGCCGCCTCCGGGAGCGATGTCAAGGATCCTCGATCCCAAGTCCAGCGACGCGCCGCTGAGGAGCCCGGGAAGTCCGGCAGGACGCGGACACCACACGAGGGGCAAGACAAGCGGATCAACCAGCGCATGACGAGGACCATCATGTCGCGGCAAAACGTCATCACACAAGAGATCGACCTGCATGCACAGCAGCACATCCGCCGCGGCGTCGCACACTGATCCGGGGCCAAGCTCGTCGACCCATATCTGCAATGTGCGGTGCAGAGCAGGAAAGGAGGCCACATGCTCTCTCACCGCCTCGAAGATCGCATCATCAGTGCTGGGCATGAGCGTGCGAAGCTTATCGAGGAGAGCAGGCTCGTAGTCGGCCACAACCGGTGGGAGGTGTGCAGTGCCGCGGCCGGCGCTAGCACGACATTGGGCGTGGCCATCCTGCCCGTGAAGCTCGGGGAGCAAATCTGGGTCTGCACGCTCGAGTGCTTGCAAGCAGGCACGGGATAGCCCCAAATGGGTACGCAGCTTACGGGTACACGGAAAGAGGGAGCCGCATGCCCTGCAGCGGAGACCCTTGGCCAACCGGAAATGCTTAGTCCTATAACCGTGCTTGAGCGAAGCATGCGAGGCCCAGGAATGAAAGCTGGAAAAGGCCCTCTTACAAAGAAGGCAGCCGTGCTCAAGCGTGCCGGGTGCACACGCAGCCTGGGGCCGAGTTGCCCACGTGGAGCGCACAAAGCCGGACCAGCACACACGGCATCCACGCGCGATTATGTGCCAGGTTTCGGCTCGACGAAGCAGCCCCTTCCAAGCCTTTGGTCGACCAAGGACGAGCTCAACCCAACGATCCCAATCCTCAAGGGGCGCCCCAAGAGCACAGGTGCCGTGTACCGCGGCGTAAAGCCACGCACAAGCCTCATGCAGGGCTTGTAACGCCTCGGGGCTGTTCTGTAGGACAGCCCATGCTTCTGCAGGTCCTGTGCGAAGAAGGCGCCCGAGGAAACGGAGCCGCTCCAGGTGTAGCAGCTCCGCCGCGTCTGGGGCTGCGCATCGGTCAAAGATCTCATCGTGCGACCAGTGCTGTCCCTCCGACGACTTAATGCGCAGCATCTGCCGATGTAGCGCCAGAACGCCCTGGTCCAAAACATGCCAGGCACCTTGACACATTGCAGGCCAGGCACCCGCACCAGCGAAGAGTGCGGAGAGGATGTGCTGCCGGCATAGGATAACACGCTTGCGCAACTGTATGGGCGGACAGCAAAAGACGCGCTTGCGAGCAGCCCCGAAGTCGGCCTTAGCACGGGAAACGCGGGCCTTCACATCAGCAAGCAACGAGGAGTTGTAGGTGATGATTGACCCCAAATGTCGATACGAGGGAACCGCATCGAGCCACACCGGCCCGCTGTGCTCCCGCAGCACAACCAATTTGGCACGATGACGCCGAAAGAGGGAGTCACGCGCGGGCTTGGCCCCAGAACCCCTGTGAACGAGCAGGGCGGCCGTTTTCCGAGGACCGAAGTTGGCCGTAAGCCCATGTGAGGCAACAGCATCGAGCGAACGGCCCATCACATGCGCCACAGCTTGCGTTAGGCCGCCGGCTGTGCGAGACAGCACACAAGCCGCGTGATCGTCCGCGTACACCACGTCACAGACGCTGGCACGATGCTCGCGCCCGTGAGCAGCCGGGGAGTACGGTACTAGTCTCCTGTCGCCGGTCCACCAAAACCGTGGTGTGATCTCATCAGAAAAGGCCCCTCGGCGATCCAGGACCCGCTGGAACAGGAGGTTAAACGCCACGTCCGCCAGGCAGCTCCCGGGACGAGTGCCCCGTGTCGTCCGGATGATCGTGGAGTCGCCCGCTACGTGAAACCAAGTGTCCGCGTGCGCCTCCCTGATAAGGGAGTGGAGCAAGGTCGGACACGAGTCGGCTTCCAGCACAGGGGCCTCGAAAACGTGGTGCTGGATCTCCTGCAAGTCTCCCGATGACAGACCAAGGGTCGAAATCACACTTTCGAGAGGCGAATCTGTGAGGCTGGCTCCGGCAATCACCTCCCGCACAACGGCATAATAGGCGGCGGCGAGGTCTGAGAAGACCACGGCCGCAGACACACCCATCCGCTTAGCAGCGAGAAGGAAGTTCCGCGTGATAAAATGCCCCATTTCGAAGGAGAGGCCCTTGCGGCCTCCGAACTGAAGCGGTGAGGCTCGTCGCTCGAAGAGCTCCACCGGAAGCCGCCTGAACGCCTTGTACAGCGCCTTGCCCACGACTGGCTGAAGCAGGATCCCCCGTTGGGAGGAGGCCAACGCGGAATTGGAGGAGGAAGCCTTGCCAATGTGGTGCAAGGTGCCTCCTTTCAGTCCCACGCATTCAGTAGACATCAATGCGCTCTTAAGCAACACAGGCCATAGGAGGGCGGCCATGGGGGCCGCAAAGCGAGCACACAGCGATGGTGGAATCAAATCCGGGCCCGACGCACGGTGGGGCTGCATCTGCTGCAACGCATGCAGCAGCTCCCCAAAGGACGGGACCTCCGACTCAGAAACCCCACTGAGCGTACCTCGCCTTCGTTGCCTATTGACACATCCCTGCACCAGGTCTGTCACCGCAATGGTGTCGCCCCCCTCAAGGTCAGCGAAGTGACGACGCCACTCAGCAGCCACAGCCTCCGGCGTTGTACACAGCTCACCTGCTGGCGTGACAAGGCGCGGAAGTGGCTGCATACCGACACGGCGGTACTTCTTGGGGCGCAACACCTTCTTAATGGCCAGGTGGATCTTGCCGGGAGGCGCCGCTTCGGCCTCATCGGCGAGAGCAGAGAAGTAATCGGCACGATCTCGCTTGCAGAGTCGCCTGACAACACGACCGAGGGAGTGGAGTTGAAAGGTGGCCACAGCTATAGACACCCGCAGGTCGTGCAGCCAGCGTCCGGTAAAGACATCCACAAAGGCAGCACCGTTGTTCCAAGCAACAAACGCACATCTGACCAGAGTAGCCCGGTAGGCGAGCACGCGCCATCGCAACGAGTGACGCACCGCAGCAACACGCCGGTGCACGCCCGCAACCTCATCAGAGAGGTAAGGGCGGCTAAGCCTCCGTTGTTGCAGTGGGAACTCCGCCACCAGGCCCCTATAGAGCGAATCTACAACCACGGCAACATGATCATTGACGTTGACTGACCACTCCACAGGCGGCACCGCAGCGCAGATGCGAGAGACGGCCGCACTATTCTCGGGACGAAGCAGGGCTGTAGCATCGATCCGTGCGGCTCGTCTGATGCGCACCGGCGCAAAGAGCCGAAGGTCAAGGTCCACTAGCACCGCAAAATGGTCAAGTATCGAGTGTCCCGCCGAGATGGCGGCTTCTACCCGGCCTCGAACCCTAGCGTGGCGCCAATCCAGAGGAAGAGATACATAGTCCCCCCGGGCTAGGGCACCTGATCTTTTCTGTGAGAAAGTTCCCCCTGCCCCGGAGAAGGAGTCAGAAAAGGTGCTTGGAAGCCACGCATGGCACTGGATCAAGAGGCCATGGAAAAGCTCGCCAATGCCATCAAACGGGTCTGCATGAAGAGGACCGACATTGTCACTGAGAACCGCTCCGAGCTTGCAATTGGCATCCACCATATGCACCCACAGCTCATTGAAGCCAGCTCGGGAACAAACAGCCACAGTGTCGCGCCACCACTGAGAGCGCTCCGCCGACGGGTGGCCGCTGTGTAGACCGTGCGCGACCAGTACCAACACATGGAGGCCAAGGAAGGAGACTCGCACGCAAAGGCGGGAATAGTCGGAGTGCAACACGACCGCGGAATGATCCGGCCACCCGCGTCCGTGCGCAACCCACAGTTCCACACCGAAGGCCCTCTTTTCCAAACACCCTGAACTATATCTGCAATAGTGCGTGGTGCGCCCCATCCCCTCCGGCGTCCTGGTCTCTTGCAGGCCAGCCATAAAGACCCCATGTGCGTGCAAGGCCGCATCCAAGAGGGCCACCCGTCCTGTGCATCCGTGGAGGCCAGCTGCACGGTCAGAATCAGAGGCGCCCGGCTCCACAATTGAGAGGGTATTAAAGCTAACAAATGCTCCCTTCAGCCTAGCTTTTTCTTAACTCGAGTCCGGGCCCATAGGGGGAACGGCACGGAGAAAGGGCTGCATGATCTCTTCCGGGGCAAGAAGAGAGGAAGGCTCCTCAGAAGACCAAGATAAGGTCCCATCATGCATGGGGGGGCCACATTCAGGCCGGCGCGCGGCCCAACAGATATGCGGAACCCAACGGAAAGCATTCTGCGCAAACCACGAGTGCAAGTCAAGAGTAAAGGGCCCATATTCTTGACCAGCAGCCCCGAGAGATGCAAGAGCGTCTGCCATCTCATTGGCCGGGTCACCAGAGTGACCCCTAACGTGGGAATACGCCGGCCTACCCGCACCACAAAAGGACAAGCCCTGGTGCAAGCTCTGACACGCCTGCGCAACGCAATGGGCAGAAACGGCACAGGTCCCAGCCGCCGCACCCAGGGCAGACTCATTGTCACACAGAAACATGAGCGGGCCCTGAAATTTGCACTGGAAACCGGCGACGGCGGCCCAGAAGAGGCCGACTATTTCAGAAGCATAGGCACACAGGCAACCATCTGCAGCGCCACCGAAGCGCCAGATGGGCACCGAGTCGCCGAAGGCATGACCCACATACACACCAGGGCAGCAGGGCACACCCGGAGTGAGAACCGAGACCACAAGTCCCCATCCAGCGGTGCCGCCCTCCGCACTAAAGGAACCGTCAGAGGTGAGGCACAGAGCTGTGGCATCGTCAGGTATCCTTCCGGGGGAGCCCCGTCCGACCCACGCATCAAAGCGCTCGGCGCGGGGCAGGCTTTTCGGCAGTACAGCAGCGCGCCCGAGCGGGGCAAAGCGCACCAGATCCGCAAACATTGCATCAGTTAGCGGAGTGGCACATGATCCTGCCTCAAGATCAAACCAATCAACGGGACCACGAGCCGAGGCCTTCCTGGTACAAGCTCGGGTACCAGAGCTAAGGCATTGGTCTAAGGAAATCTGCAGGGAGGGTCGCCCCTCTCCACATCAAAAACCTCACAATTCTGCTCCCCAACAGCCGGAAGTACTGGAAAGCCCGTCCCAACAGCTGGGGCCGGCACGTTAAAGTGCTCAAACAAAGTCTCGACAAGCGTGGCAGCAAGGAAGAAAGCAGGGCAGGAAGGATCGAGCACGCTCTCCTCCAGCAGAGTGCGGTCATGCGAGGGGGACGCAGGATCGCCCACCTCAACGGATCCAGCCAGGCCAGGCGGGCCGATAGGCAAGAAAGGAGCCTCCGCGTGAACATCCCGACGAGCATCGGCATCATTCCCTAGGAAGAAACGACCAGCACGACATGGCGTGGGCAAGGCCCGTCGGGCTCCATGTGGGCGGCCAGAACGTGGGCAATCTCCACTAGGCAAAGAGCCGGGAGTAAAGGTATGTGCTCCCCCAACACACATGGCCATCTCCACCTGGCTGACCAGGCATAGAACGAAGACACATGTTCGAAGCGGCGCCCCAGAGCGCCCGCCGCACCGTAACCGAGCCAGACGACGATGAGTCATGAACGTCCAGGAAGGGAACAATTCCGCTTCCGCCAGCCCCTCCACCGCCCGAGGTGGCTGCTTCAAAAGCATGGTCAGAATGGAGCGGGGCACAAATGTCACCATCAGCTCCAGAAGCGGGCCCAGAAAAGGTCAAGACACGAATGTCGTCATCGGTTCCGGCAGCAACCAAATAAGCCGTCAGCAAGTCACCGTTTTGGAACTCGCGAAAGCCAGAAGAGAGGGCAATGCCGGAGGCTCCGCCGACAAAACCGACGCGAAAGCCTGGGGGACAGTCAAAGTCCGGGAGGAGCCCGGAACAGTCCACTGCAGCGACGGACCGGAAGAAAGAGTGCAACCCCAGAAGCAACGGGCGAGCATCAATCACACCACCTCTGACGTCCTCGTTGGGGGAAGACGCGAGGAACATCTGCGCGCCGGCTCTGCCTCTCATGCAGAGGCCTGAGGGGCACGGGCTCACCTCGACAAGTCGGAGAGTTGTCTCATCGATTCCTATGACCTCTGCAGCACGCCGCGGCAACACTGGGAGCTCCTGGGCGAGCAGCTCGACACAGCGCCGGGGGGTGATAAGGCACAGTCCCTCGTCAAGCTCATCACCCAACAAAGCCTGCGGGTCCCATCCTCCCGCGGAACGGAGCAGATCAGGCAGCGGTGAGGCAAAGGGAAGCAGGGGCGGACCTGGAGTGATACGGATACGATCCCCCTCGGAAATACGAGCAACAGCGTCAGGGGCCATCGGCTCGACGGCAGCACCAACACGCAGCTGTATGTTGCCAACGGGCGCGTAGCCAGCCGCAAGCAGAAGCTCGCCCCACGAGGTTACGGGAGTGACCGCAATGGCAAAGGTTCGCCCATCGACGAGCCATGCATCAACACACACCAGGACATGCTCGGAATCCCACCGAGGAGCAGCAAGAACGACAGCAAACGCCAAGGCAGGCTGCGGAAAGACCTCGACCAAGCGCGGAAACAGAGCGCGCGCATTCGGTTGGCGCAGCGAGTTGGCCGCGCTCATCGCTTGCGCCAAAGTAGCCGGGGCGATAAGGGAGACAACAACTCGCTCCGGCAGATAATCAGGGGCCAAGACGAAGAATACGGCGTCAAATGGCGTGCCCGTGTGGTCAACACCAGCCTGCCTGAGCCAGGGGGGAGCAGAGGCCATACTCGGCCTCGGACGCTGTGCTTCAGGAACAACAAGCCTGCTGCCGGGTACCGAGGAAGGAACGTCAAGAACATAAACTGCCGTAAGAACAGCGCCGGGCTGAACACTGAGAAATGCGCTGCCGTCAACCACCCCATTCACCGCAACGCGCCAACCCAGAGGCGCCTCAGCGTTGAGGTCATCCAAGACGACCTCTGCGAGAACGCGGTCGTGGGAGGCGCCGCCGTAGATCCACCCCTGGAACAACTGTCGACAATCCACGAAGAAGAAGAAAGCACGACGGCCCTCATCCACCGGGACGCGAGGTATGGCCAGGACCAGGGCACGACAGCACCATCCATCGACAGCCGCATCAGAAACTTGGGGCGAAGCTGAGCAAATCGTCAGGTTATACTCAGGAACTCCAGAGACCTCAGAGAGTCGGCGGCGATAGTGCCAGGGCTGAGCAGGGTCGATGTCACAGAAACAGAAGCCCCTATCAAGCACCACACAGTACCCATGCGCAGGTGCAAGAATGGGGCCAATGTCATCAGCCCAGCCCTCCAGCGACAGGAGCGCCTGGGCCAGAGTAATCTGAGGCAACCCAGGCATGAAACCAGGCCGAAAGAACCGCAAGGCAATGCCCGGATACACATGGGCCTGGACGCCATCCAGTAAGGGCTGTTCATCCAATCCAACAACGACAAGAATGTCAGAGTCAGCGGGAAGTGCAACCAACGAAAGGGCTTCCTGCCGGTCTATGTAATCCGGCACCTGCGTGGCGAATAAGCGACCGTCGACATCACGGGCATCAATACACGCAACCATGGCAAGCCCTAGCCACGCAGGGTTGGCGACGAAGGTGCAGATGCCAGCAACAGGCTGCGGGAAGACTTCCAATAAATTGGGAAAGTCATCTGACAGATCATGTCGACGCACGTCACGCACAGCAAGACGAACGTCCTCAATCAGAGCCGGAAGTCGGATGGCGAAGCGCAAATCTTCCGGAGCAAAGAGGGGCTTCAAAACCAGCGCTCGCATCCAGTGGACAGCCGAGCCTAGCAAGAACTCATCCGACATGTCGTCGTCGGTTCCCACGCGGTCCTCCATGCCGTCGCCCGCAGGGATATACGGCCACTCTCCTCCCATTTCGGTGGTGACAAACCTCAGGTCTTGAAGGGCTTGCAGTTGCCCCGGGCTGCTGCACGTCGGTTCGGTCAGCAAGCGAGCAGCCACCGCAGTAGCAGAACCATTCAGAGGGCCCGGACCAGACATAATTTCAACTGACGCGTTCTCCGGGAGCACTGAAGCAGAGCTAGAGGAAGGACCTCCAGTCTCTTCTGCGGGGTCGGATTGACGCCGACGCTTATCTAGCGCCCCAGCACTCTCGGAAGCATAGCACCCCGTTTCAGCATCAAGGCCACGAGCAGAAGCGGGAGAGCCAGGGCCATCACATACAGCCCCGTCGCCCCTGGCCGGATCAGCAGGCATATGACAAACCTCAAGAACCTCGCCAGCAAAAACGCGAACTCGGCCCCCCTCGACAGCCGAGCCACCCCGAACAACAACACAGCTAGCAGGGAGCCCCTGGCGCGCGCATCGCTGGCGTACGGCCTCAACATCAACCATACAGTCCGCAGAGGCAGCCCAGGATAACCCACAACAGATAGGCCGCAGATCCAGGAAAAAGTGACAACCCTCCGGCTCCGGATGACGCGGAGTAGCAATCACAACTTCTGCCGCATGCCGACCGCTGTCAGAGAAATCAGTCACAGGCGGCCTCGCAGGCTGGAGGAAAAGTGACACAATAGGGATCGTCAGTGCCTCGGACACCTCTTGGCGCAAGAAACGTCGCCTCTCGAGAGCGCACGCAACACTCCAAGGGTCCGTATCGGTCAACACGTGGACCCAACGACCAAGAGGGCCAGGAGCCGCAAAGTCAACACTCCACCCCGCGCTCGACAGGAGCATATCAGCAAGAGTCGAGACCACGAAATGGGAGGCGCTGGCAGGCACAAAGGATACACAGCCCCCGTTGAACATTCGGCAATCCTCGCCGGGGAGCAAAGGACGCTCTGATTCTGGTCCATAGACCTCAGTGTCACTGTAGACCGCCAGGCCGGCAGCGGCCAACAGAGATTCCCTGTTCATAACAGGGGACACAACCCAACAAAAGATGGCGCCATCAACGTGGGTCGTGTCGAAAACGGCAAAGATCTCAGAGCACCAGCCCGGCCAGGCCAGAAGAACGCCAAATGCACCGGAGGTTTGGGGAGAGACAACCTCCAGGGCGGGGAAGCGTGTCCGCGAGGCATCTGTCCTGCACCGCTGCACACGCAGGAGCACCTCTGCTGTATCAAGACCTTCGGGCATGATCAAGTTCACCTGCTCAGGCACATACTCCTGAGAGAAAATAAGGAAAGGAGCCACAAAGTAGCCATGAGCAGAGGCCGGCGCACTCGGCTCAGGGGCAGAGTTCCCCCGGTATGGAGATCTGCTGCGAGAACTTCTCTCGATGGATCCGATGCCTCCAGCAGCGGGCGGAGAGTCAGGCGGGTCAGTACCAATGGACAAAGACGACAGCATCTCATCGTCAGTAGGAGCTTCACTATCGCGACCCTCAACGACAAAAGCAGCCTCGGGATGATGCGGCAGAGGGACATAAGACGCATAAATAACCTTGCCGGGGTGCAACAGGCAGCGGTCCTGATCACCTTCCAAGCCCTCAAGGTGAACGCACCATCCCGGAGGGCAAAAGACCGAAAACTCTTCCCGCAGGGCGCCACAAGAGACGAAACCATCCGTGGAGACGCACAGCTGCCAACCTTGGAGCATGGCCCGACAATCAATGACCGTCAAGGCAGTGATAGCCTCGCGCCCCACCTCAGAAATATCAAATGGGTCCGAGACAGCACATGCATTCCGACAGTAGAAGCCGTTCAAAGCAACATCGCTAGCCGGGGGAGCCGCCATTTGCACCAGAGCGGTACCAGGGGTAAGCCCAAAGTCACGAACTAGGGCGGCACGGTCAACAACAAGGGAAGTGTCGTCCGCAGCGACACGCCTGTACCCATTGTCACCCACAACGCAAAAGGAAGCCGTAGCAGGGCCAAACGGGACGGCCGGAAATTGCTCCCATGCAGTGGCCGACTGAAGCATCTCTTCCAAATGATAGTACGGGCCAGGCAGGGAGTGTCGCGGCACAAAAGAGACACAGTCTCCATCTGAGAGCGGGCGCTCCTCCTGTGCGTCCATAGGAGTCGGGCTGGCCCGGCCGGCCCCAATGTAAACGTCGATAGTTTGTCCATCCACTCCCGCAAGCGCTAGCAAAGAGTCCCGTGATGCAAGCGAGGGACCACAGACCGCATAAAGACGTCCATCGACGTCTAAGAGATCCAAACACAGCAAGGTCTCTCTCAGAGCCCAATCAGGGCGCGCAATAAGTAACCCTGTGCCCGGAAACGGTTGCTGCGTCACAACAGACAGGGACGGGAAAAGCCTCGCACGGACCGGTTCGCGCATCTCCTGAACCGCATTCGATCAGGGCTTCGTGGACGCCAGTGGGGGGGGTCAGCGTCACCACCACAGTCTCGAGAACGTACTCCGGTGTGAGAAGCCAGAACGCCAAGTCCGCGTCCCCGGCACCAAAGTCGGACTCACTATCAGTGCGAACCCGCTCGGCCGCCCGCTGTAGCGCGAAAGCGTCATCAGCCTGTAGGTAAGGCCAGACCCTTCCTTCGCCCTCAACGAAGTCCCTAGCCTGTTCGACGCGGTCACGCTCCGCAAAGCTATGTGACTCAGGCTCAGCCAAGAGCTTTAGTGCAACCGGGGCCGCATCAGCGGGTGTGTCCGCCACAACACGTCGCCGAGGCGAGCGGCTGACAGCACGAGGAGACCCCGCATCCAGGGCAGCCTCAGGAACAAAGGGGGGCCCAGAAGACGCCGGGAGCGCGTCGGAAGAGCCTTGCAGCACACTTACTCTCGGTGTCCTAGGGTCAGGGCCCGGGTCTGCAACGTTGTCAGAGGGTATCTGGCGCTCGAAACCGAAGACCACAGTATCCCCGGAGCGAACAACAATGCAGTTCTCTGTTTCAGCAGGGGTAAGGGAGGCCGCCGCGAGCTCAAAACCATTGGGCAAACGATGAATCCCCGCAGAGCGCGCTAAATACCCAATCGAGACCTCTTCGCCAGGCAGCCATACCATTGTGGGCTCCTGTCCGACCTGCCGGGGGTCGAGGAACACAAAGAAACCAAAGCCACCTTCACGTGCTGGTAGTCGAAAGTCGAGAACGCCCACTGCTCCCTGGCAGGCGGTGCCTTTCCAACTAACGTCCTTCAGCGCATCGCACCGAGGGCGGGCACAAGCAAACCTCGGGACATCTCGCCCGAACAGGGCAAACACGTCAGCCTGAATGGGCCAATCCGTATCCGAGATACCCCAATTCAAGCACGCATGACCCCTTCCAAGGAGGAGGGAAGGAAGCAGTGGGGGTGAGTCAGGGAGAGAGGCAGCAGACCATGCCCCAACATCCGACAAGCGTGTCTCCAGGCGGTGATGCCAGATGGGCGTGTCCCCAGGACGCACAAACTGAACAACCCATCCCTGACAGAACTCAGAAGGAGGCCCATCGACAAGGGGCTCCGAGGAGCCAGCAACAAACACGGCAAAGTCAGCATACCCGCACCGACGGGCTTCGAGGGACAAGTCATAAAGACAAGCCATGAAGCAAATGTGCTTGGCGTAAACTGGGCCATCCAGTCGCCTGAAATCGAAGACCACAACACAAGTGCCGTGTTCGCGCAGCCAAGGACCCCCAAGAACAAGCGAGGCGTAGTCCGCTGCAAGCTGAGGGACAGTGGGTGAAACCACTGTAGCGTACTCAAGCTGCAGCGTAGACAAAGCCTGTTGAACCTCAGACAAGGCTTCCGAACACATTACGTCTGGAACACGCAAGGCCACAGCCACGTACTCATCATGGTACATAGGGCACATAACCTGGAAGAGGCAGCGCCGAGGCACAGGACGCTCCTCCTCTCCACCGGTGGCAGCGCCGGCCTGATGTGCACCAACAGTAAGGTGATCTGGCACGAGGTCCGCAAAACGCCTGGCCGCCGCTAGAGCCGAAGTCCACTCGTCAGAAACCGAACCGTGAACACACACCGGCAAACTAAGGAGCCCAAGCAGTGAAGACACGAGACCGAAGGGACCCGCAGGGTGCCGGGGAGGCCTGCTACGGTGGCCCCTTTGTTGGCCCCATGCACGGCCCTTACGATCACGCCAAGCATCCCACGGGAGCCCACAGGACTCAGGAGCGGCCACCTGGAGGCAAACAACGGTCGCAGGAGGAAGGCCTGCACAAGGCATGCACACCAGGCGTCCCAATGGCGAGCGCCGATCCGCCAAGGGTGAAACCCACAAGCGGAAGACGGAAAGGCACAGAATGCCACAGAGAGCCCGACCCAAAGGAACAACAAAACCGGAAAGGGCATACAGCATCCACAGCACCCAGTCCGAACAAGCCGTCGGTGGCGACGTAGCCACAAGGCGACAGCAGCAGTCACAGGACTCCACAGTACTAACCAAAATGTGGAGGCCGAAGGACAACAACCCATAGACGCCAGCCCCTGCCCCAGAGCGACCGATGCAGGTGTTTCGCGCTTGGCGACTACGGGTGTCAAAACTGTCCGCAACTCGCGCCCGGGGCCTAGCACTACAAAACTGGGACGGCAGGCGACCAACGGGGCGGCAGAACATATCATCCCACGTCACAAAGCACAGGAGACGGGGAGACAGGGCGGAAGACCGCCGAAACCGCAAATCCAGCAGAGACGCCCTCGCAAGAAAGGAGGGAAGGCACTGGGAATAGCCATGGCAGGCCCAAAACTCCTCCAGAACCCAAGGAGAAGCCAAGGCCGCCGATGAAGGAGGGTGCTCGCCAAAACAAAGAGCACCGGCAAGGAGGGCGAAAGGGGGGACGGGCTGAGCGCGACCTAACGTCCTCTCTAGAAAGGTGTGAGACCGCAAGAGCCCCGGAAAGGTGCTATGGACTCTCCTGGAAGAAGGATCTTGCCCGGGGTGGAGCGCGAGAAAGGGGGATGACGGCGTCAACCCACAATACTCAGGCCTCCCAAGGCGATCAGTCTCCCGGTACAGCCCACAGCACTTCAGAGGCTCTTGCCTAACACATCGGAGAAGGCGTTCAGGGAGGAGTCCAAGGCCGGTCATGCAGTGTGCTCGGCAGGGTACGCCGCACTTCGACTCCATATCCGTCTCCTCGCTCTCGTCGGGGTCGTCGTCGTTCAGCAGGGAGGAGACCGGCACGCCCTTGTTCATCTGGGCCGGTTCGGCCTGCTCCGGGAGGGGCGAAGGCATAATCCCCATGGATCCCGCCAATCCAAGCCCAAAGGGCGTCTTGGCCGTGAGCTCCTGGCGTCGAGCCTCCAAACGCTCCGCCAAGGGCTTCGAAGACGGCTGACGGACCTTGGCGGCCTCCTTTGTAGCATCTTTCACACCAGCTCTGGGCGGGGCCGTGGACGTAGGAACCCTCGCCAGACCCAAATCTCGCTGCCCCGGATGTCGCGGGCCTTGTCCAGAACCAGGGCCAGGGGAAGCGGTGGCCAGGCCTCCACCGTTGCCACCTCCCAATCCAGGCGGAGAGGGGTGTGACCCGCAAAGATAGGGGTCCATCGGGAGCACAGCCTCGTCGGGCGCGGCACCTGTATGATCGACCCGCATGTCTTCTGGTAGCGCCCGTCGAACAGAAGCCACTGGGGTACGCGGGGGAGCTCGAGTAGAGCGGACGGGCGTGACAGCCGGGGCAGCAGGCAGAAGAGCACCAGCCATTGCACGGCGGAGAACTGCGTCGTCGTCCTGTGTCTCCTCGGCAGCCCAGCCACTGAAGACCTCGTCGACGGAGGGCAGTCCTGCCTCTGCATCCTCCGGCTCCTCGGGCGGCACCACCATACCAGTGGCCGCACGGCATAGGACTTCCCGAGCCTTTGCCTGAGCAGCAGTAGCCTCCTCGATCTCTCTCTCGAGGCGGGCATGGTCTTTGAGGAACTTGCTGCGCTCGAGCTGGAAGATACGCTTTCTCTCGGCCTCGTAGATATCCCACTTCGCGACACACTCCTTGAGGGCCGCCTGCAGCTTCTTCACCCGATTCTCGGCCTTGCGGGCGTCGTTCAAGATGTGCTGCATAGTAGGAACCAGGCGCTCGGCATCGTCGTCTCCCGTCCCGGGAGTATTCTTGCCGTGTTCCGCAACCGCGACAGAAGCATAGCCCTGTTCGGAACTCCTCGGCATCTGCGAGCGCTGCCACGGCGGAACTCGGTCCTGCTGACGCTGCTGCGGAGAGCGCGCACCAGACCACAAGCGCCAGGAAGGCTGACCCGGAGTGTCCCGCACGTCCCATGTCGGCTGTCGGTTCTGGGCCTTGTTCTTCCCTCTTCCCATACCAAGGGCCCCCACCAAAGACGGGGCCGAGGCGTGATGCAGGGCCAGTCTAAAAACCTGGAGGCGGGAAAGGGCACGACCAGACCGCAGAGCAGCACGGGCTGAGGAGCGGCGCTGTCTGCGCCGACGATGCCAGGATGGCGAGCCCTTAGCTCCTGCTATGGCTCAAGCCGCGGCACTACGCACCTCCTTGGGTGCTGGGGCCACAGTATTCCAGCCGCTGCTGGCTATCTGAGCCCTGTTCTGGGGTCTATTATACTCTCATTTAAACAAGGAGCCGCCAAAACAGTGTTGGTAATTATTGAGGCCCCTATATAACACCTCCTTATTTGCGGCCGGCCACAGCACACAGGGAAGACAGAGTTCGGGGTCTACAGTTCAGGTTTGGGTTGGTTTGCAGGGTGTAGCCCTAAACCCTGAACCCTACATTCAAGCCCTAAACCCTACACTGTAGCCATGTTTGGGATGTAGGCTTTTGCGTTTGGACCTTTTCGGGAGTCCGCCACCAAAGGAGAAACGGGGCTTCACGGATTTTGACCCCGGAACCTGGCAGTGCAGGGGCCTTAATAACTAGAATAGGGTTTTGGGGGCTCCTTTTTATAGTTATAGTATAGTATATTACTAAGGCCCTATCGTAACCCCAAACCGTCCCAAAGCTTCGACAGCTGTGCAAGCCTTCTTGGGCACGTGCTCTGATTTTCACATCAGCTTTTGGGAATATCGGGATGGAAAGGTTCCAAACTCGGACTTTTCTTGGGTCGTCGAACTAACTTAGCTTATGAAGAAGCCGCTGCGAAGATCGAGCAAGAAATTAGATGCCGCAGCATGTACATGCCTGGTATGTCGAGCGCGGGAACTTTGGCGGTGACGACGTCGGGACATAGTCCTGGCTGGCGATCAGAACATCTTCAGATTTCGTGAACCCATGCCACTGCTGTGACACTTCAGGCATGACTTGCGGGAGCTGCGGGTTTCTTAGAAGGACCCTGGCAGCAAGACTGTGTAAAAAATGTGACAGGGTCCTTCATGATGTGAAACTCTCACGTAAGGCTTCGCCGATGAGAATGGCTGCATTCAGGGCGCCCCGATTTCTAACAAAAAGTGCAGATGGAGGGGTCTTTCGAAAGTGGCTGCTGCCTCAAGCCCGATCCAAAGAACTCTGAAACCCTGGCGTCCTGCTGATACTGTGCCACTGTTTTAGTAATAAGGTATAGTATACTATACATTCATACCAGGGCAGCGAGTTTTTAATGCTACACCACGCTTTTGTATGCTGGACCCGTGGCAATATAATATACTGTAATATGATTTAATATAGAAGAATATATCCCAAACCCCTCAACCACGCAGTGACCTCCGCGAAAAGCGAACATCGCAGAGAGGAAAACATGAGACTGTTGCTTTCTTGCTCCATACGGCCAGCCTGCCTCTATGGGCACCCTCTCGGAGAAGCAGGAGTACTTGGCCGCGCGATCGTCCCTCGTCTTGCAGAGAAGCTTTGAGAGACTACTTCCCAGGGCTGCACCAAGGAGACCGAAACACTGACATCCAGTAAGATACACTGCCCTAAACCCTAATCCCTAAACCCTAAACCGTCTCAACCTCCAAGGGATCCCAGCCGAATATGCCGTCTGAAACTCGAAGTTTTGCAGCGAGATGATGAACAAGAATGCAGCTAAGTCTATGTGTATCAGTGTATAATAAATAAACACTACTGACTCGTGCCCGTTCCGCACCTGCTGCAAATTTCGCCCTAAATGGCCTCCAATGAACTCTGAATCTTTCATCCTACATCCTAAGCCCTTAAACCCTAAAGCTTTTGAATCCTAAACCCCAAAACTCTGAAGCCCTAAAGCCCGAACCCGAAACCCCTCAACCCAAACAGGATCGGATCAAGGGGCTGAAACTGCTTTGACCTCTTATGTAGCTGGGTTCAGAGCTTCAGCGACATGATCGTGCTGAGATTTGGAGTTGGGGTCTAGGGTTTAGGGTTTAGGTTTTAGGGTGCTCTGCGGAACTTGACGATGTCCAGTCTTCCTGCGGCCTTTGTGCCTCTCTCAATTCCTTGTTGTTGGTACTAGCCCGAAGCACCTGGATGTTGAGCACGACGCCGCCTCAAGCCAAATTCGTCCAGAGCTAGGGCTTTATGAAATCTAGGCATCAGCTGGCTACGGAAACTTGGCGCGAGAGGAATTGAGATCCTGAGCCTTGGGGTACAGGACTTCGGTGTCAAAGAGACTTCTTGCAACGTTACATCTTAAGCAGACCACTTTGTACATAGTCCTGTATGCATGTGCCACGACACATCACCTGGCAAATTCGCCAACTTGCCCTCTGAAACAATGCAAGAAACAGAAGCCGCACAGCGGCACGACCAGATAATCGCTATCTGCCTCTGTAGCTGTATCTAGATCTACATGTATGTATGCATTGGGAATATACTGGTATACTACCAAGATGTTTGTGATGCTCGTGTGATTACAGTTGACCACAGTAACTACGAACATCAACGTGTTTGCTGTCTATCTACATGCATTTTTTACGGTCCGGCTCATCCTCTAAACCCAAGCCCGAAACCCCAGACTCTAGGCCCAATGTACCTATCAGAACACCTACATATCCGAGGTAAGTCTTTCGTTCGAACTCGTTCGCCGAGTGCAGCGCATTTGCTCGTGCCGCTGTCGTCTACGGCTTGGTCAGGAAGGGAAGGGCTCGGAGAAGGGGGCTCGCAGAGGCCCTCTGTTAAATCCTGAACTTCAAGCCCTAAATCCCGAGCCCACAATCCCAAGCAAAACCCCAAACACCCAACAATTTCAGCTCATGCTATTACCACATCCGGAGAATTGAGGAGCGGCACTCAATAATTCGAACTGCTTCCTTAGGGTGCCGTGGACTTGCATATGTACACACATGTACTTTTGTGTGTGTGTGTATAGATATATGCATGTACACACACAGAGACACAGAGAGCGAGAGAGAGAAGATTATTGCAGATGAAAGAGCAACTCATTGAAATATCACGACGATGAAGAGAAATCCCATACATACCTAATCTGAAAAATGACAGGTTATAGAAGGACAGAGTCTCACGGACTCTGTCCGTGGAATAGTAATCCCCAGAGCCCCATTATAAGTACCTGCTGTCTCCCGGTTCTCTCGGCATCCCGCATTGTTGCTTCTAGGCATGTCGGGCCTGGGAGGAGTAGCAGTCAGCTTTTTGCCCTACTGTTGATGATATAGATCCTGCATTACCGTAGGGGCCCTAATTAAAGTATGGGAATTATGGTAGATTCCTTAATTATGGTAATGCAGGATTCATATCATCAACCGTAGGGCTTAGGGTTTAGGAAACCCGGGCTCAAGGCTGCAGATTCCCTGGCTCGGTGCTGCAGCTTGGAGTTTAACGTTTAGGGGGGTTTCGGGGCTTGGGTTTTTGGGCCTATGGTTTATAGCGCTTATAAGCTTGGGGATTAGGATTTATGGGTTTGGGTTTAGGGTTTAGGGTTTAGGGTTTAGGCTTCAGTGTTACGTAGAGTTCCGGAATGTTTAGGGGACGGATTGAAAGATTCAGAGTTTGTTGAGGTATAAGAACACGATGTAGGCAACTCAAAGCGCTATTACTTCTCCTATAAGTAGCCTGTAAAAGCTTGACGGCTCCACGGAGTCGGTTCTCGCACCGCCGAATGATTCGACTTCTGTTGACTTCTCCAAACCGTTCCTAGACAGCCGGATCGGATCTGTGAGTTTGTTCATATTCTACTATCTTCGCAAAAATGCAAAGGAGAAAAATGTCGGACATGAAAGAGACACAGCGGAAGAAGTTTGGGATTTGAGTTTGAAACTACTGGATTTGTTGAGCTGTTTTTGGATGTTTTGCATGCGCGTCTCAGTCACAGCATGTGTGTGCACGTGTGTGTCTGCGTGTGTGCATTGTGTGTGTGTGTGTGTATGTGTGTGTGTGTGTGTGCGTCTGTGAATACTCTTGCACTGCAACTGCATTGACAGTCGGGCTGAGCTCACGAGCCTTGAAGAAAAAGGGGCGGGACTTGGAGAAATGAATACGGCTTTGGGGTATCATGGTTCTACGTTCTACGTAGTAAAACTGGATTGGCGAAACCTGAGCCCCCAGGATACTTCAGGCTTCAAAATGCTGCCTCTTCTTGAGCCTGCCCTTGCAATACACATCCATTCTGGACTCATGTCGTAGCTTCGGATGGCCTCCATCAGCCCAAACTAAAATGCCCGCCGCCCGACATTGCAAGTTGAGGTCGAAGGCACACGGCACGCACAATTTCTGAGTCGCTCACAAGCCCCTTGTGGCATGTTCGTGATGTGTGTGTGTGTGTGTGTGTCTGTCTGTCTGTCTGTCTGTCTGTCTGTCTGTCTGCCTGCCTGTCTGCCTGCCTG